GGACTGTTTGGTCGTATATATACATCTTACAAGCCACCGCTTTTGACATATATATATACTCATAAATTCTAGCGGCTTCAAATCCAGCAGGAGAAAGTTGGTAGGCCCACATGTGAGAGAATGGGTCTGTGTGGTCAGTGTGCGCCATATAAAAAAAATTCTGCAGCACGCAGTGCATAATGAGAAAAAAAACTCCTACCGTTTTTTTTTTAATTAAAATGCCGACTTTGTGGTCTATTTTCGTATAGTATTTATGGTTGTATTCTTGTTTTCTTGGTCTCATTTGATAGAATGGAAAACATATGATAGGAATAGAGGTGATTTTGATTGGTTGTATTATGAAAAGAACATGGAAATGGAGCTCAAAGTAGGGGAAATGTTTGATTTTTGCCAATGTTCAAAAGTAAACAAATGATGTCATTGTCCAATAAATGTCCAACTAGCCATTCTAATATGCAGTCATGAATGGGTTGATGTTATTTATACAGTTATTACAATATTGCAGTAGTCAGCATAACAGTAAATCTTCTATTTTTTGTTTGAATAAAAATTCAAAATAGAAAGCAAGAGTAATATCAGAGGGGCCTGGAGACATGACTGATGAACAAAGAAAATGTTATTTTAGAGCCAGGAATGTCTGCATTGTTCATTCTGGACCTTATTTTGAAATTGTCTTATTTTTTAATTTTCATGAAATTGGCCAAATTGCAAATTTCTGACCACGTTATTGGGTAGTTGAAATTGGTAAATGGGCGGTTTCTTGTACTCAGTCGATACAAAAAATGGAATTCTAAAGAAATAGCTATGAGTTTGGTCGACTGGAACAATGGAGTTAGCTGAAAATAGGGCTCAAAGTGGGCGAAATCGCTGATTCGTAAATATCGCCGTGGTCACTAACTTCACGAGAGCGTAATTCTGTCAGTTTTCCACCAAATTTCGTTCTTTTGGTGTCAATACAATCAAGAAAAGATTCTCTATCATTTCATAAGAAATTTTTTTTCTGGGGGGGGGGGGGAGGAATTTTGCAACACCAGGAGACACCTCAGGATTTGGGGTTGCGACAGTCAAGGGGTTAATACATCTCTATTAAGGACACAGAATCATCAACGAGACCCCTGGACACTGGTGTACCACAGGGAAGTGTCCTTGGTCCCCTACTCTTATACATCAATGATCTTCCAAGTGCTGTCACAACAACTTATGACTATTCTCTTTGCTGACGACATGACTCGTGTCATCTCCCACCATAATCTTGCCTCTCTCGACACTATTATTAATGAAGACCAAGTAAAAATATTGACCTGGATGACTGTCAATAAACTTGAACTTAATATAGATAAAATCTTCTACATTATGTCTGGGGACAGAACAGGTGATGCCCAACTGAACATTATCATTAACAACACTATTATTGCTAAACATAATGAGGGAAAATTTCTGGGTGTACACCTTGATAATAACCTGAAATTCAACACCCATATCCAACACATAACAAAAAAAGTATCTGAAACAGTTGGGATCCTCTCTAAGTTACTATGTAGTACCACAAACACCACTACTGACACTATACCCAACACTATACCCAACACTATACCCAACACAAAGTTGCAGTATGAATCACACAATCCACTGCTAGACAACCCCCGACTCTACAAAGACCTAAACTTACTCACTGTACACAACATTCACTATACTACTGTGCAACCTACATTAACAGAACAATCAATTCTAATATTAACCCTGAACTAAAACACTTTCTTAACAGTTGCAACAGGACTCACACACACAATACCAGAAGCACAAATTTCTGACATTCCCCGTGTCCGGCTAAACCTCTACAAAAACTCCATGTACATAAAAGGGCCCAAAATCTGGAGGACACTGTCACAAAACTCCAGAAGCACAGACTCAACCACCATATTCAAAACTGCTCTTTAAAAACACCTTATCTCCCTAACTCACCTCAGCATCACGTGACAACCACACGTGATATTTTCTGTATAATGAACACAAACAAAATATAATGACTTATTCTCATTGTCTGTAATTCTTACAACTTTATATTTATACTCATCCAAATGACTGTAAACATAAAAATACTAATAATTATTGCCTAGTTAATCTTAAGTTAGTCATAAGTTTGCCTGAAATACTCTATCAATATAGGAGCTGTTAATTACAGTAACAGTGTATCAAGCCCACATAAAACCATTACCATTACTAAATTATACTAATCGTTATATGTTATCTACGTTCTCACTATTATCACTTAATTACCTCAGTTAATTACCTAACATTTATATTATAGTGAAACAATAAACAACAGAATGTACTGCTGAATAACCTGTGTTAATAACCTGTGTCAATAACCTGTGCCAATAACCTGTGTCAATAACCTGTGTTAATAACCTGTGTTAATAACCTGTGTTAATAACCTGTGTCAATAACCTGTGTTAATAACCTGTGTTAATAACCTGTGTCAATAACCTGTGTCAATAACCTGTGTTAATAACCTGTGTTAATAACCTGTGTTAATAACCTGTGTCAATAACCTGTGTCAATAACCTGTGTCAATAACCTGTGTCAATAACCTGTGTCAATAACCTGTGTCAATAACCTGTGTCAATAACCTGTGTTAATAACCTGTGTCAACCTGTGCCAATAACCTGTGTCAATAACCTGTGTCAATAACCTGTGTCAATAACCTGTGTCAATAACCTGTGCCAATAACCTGTGTCAATAACCTGTGTCAATAACCTGTGTCAATAACCTGTGCCAATAACCTGTGTCAATAACCTGTGTCAATAACCTGTGTCAATAACCTGTGTCAATAACCTGTGTCAATAACCTGTGTCAATAACCTGTGTCAATAACCTGTGTTAATAACCTGTGTCAATAACCTGTGCCAATAACCTGTGTCAATAACCTGTGTCAATAACCTGTGTCAATAACCTGTGTCAATAACCTGTGTCAATAACCTGTGTCAATAACCTGTGTCAATAACCTGTGTCAATAACCTGTGTCAATAACCTGTGTCAATAACCTGTGTCAATAACCTGTGTCAATAACCTGTGTCAACCTGTGTCTGGGTATGTTAGTGGTTTTCTTGGTAATTAATAATTTGTAAGATGTGAACCAGACAGTCTTGGCTTTCCAAGGAAATAAATATACTTGTTTTCAAGCCACCACAGACTAGGTCTATGTAAATCAGCATTTACACAGTACCCTGACCTCTAGGTCTATGTAAATCAGCATTTACACAGTACCCTGACTATTAGGCCTATAAAAATCAATATTTACACAGTACCCTGACTTCTAGGTCTATGTAAATCAGCATTTACACAGTACCCTGACTATTAGGCCTATAAAAATCAATATTTACACAGTACCCTGACTTCTAGGTCTATGTAAATCAGCATTTACACAGTACCCTGACTATTAGGCCTATAAAAATCAATATTTACACAGTACCCTGACCTCTAGGTCTATGTAAATCAGTATTTACACAGTACCCTGACTATTAGGCCTATAAAAATCAATATTTACACAGTACCCTGACTTCTAGGTCTATGTAAATCAGCATTTACACAGTACCCTGACTATTAGGCCTATAAAAATCAACATTTACACAGCACCCTGACCTCTAGGTCTATGTAAATCAGCATTTACACAGTACCCTGACCTCTAGGTCAATGTAAATCAATATTTACACAGGACCCTGACCACTAGGTCTATGTAAATCAACATTTACACAGTACCCTGACCACTAGGTCTATGTAAATTAAGCCTAAGTGGAAAATCAAGCTCAAATTCACTCACTGATCAACTCTGGCTTGCGTTCCATCAATCCAGCCGCGATGGCCCGGCCCAGCTCTTCGTCAGTTGAGGACTCGACCCCAACGGCCAGGTCGGCCAGGTTCCGCTGGCCGCCACCTCCGCCCTTCGACCGCGTCTTCTTGTAGCTGATCCGCTCTCTGATGTGCCGCTTCCGGTTCAGTCTGTTCAAAATAATGTTCATGGTTGTTGATAAAGAGAAGACTAAACCTATACTCATTGTTACATTATAAACGGGCAACTTCTTACCAATGACACTCGGGAAAATCCACTTAACAGCGCCTGATAAACCCTAAAGCATAACAGGCAAGCATGGTACGGGGTGGCCCTGGGAAAGGCTGGAGAGACGGGGGTAAAGAAGGTCTTACATGCCAGGGGCTTGGACATCCAGCAGGAGACGAGGCAAGGAGTTCTGGGGGATTTTGCTAGCTGTTGGAGTGCGAGCAAGGCAATGTTTACTAAGGGATTCAGTAACTGGCTGGCTGGACTTGAGTCCTGGTGTCATAGCCCATTTGGGTTCAAATCTTGCCCTGGCATTTATTCTAAATACATCAGGCTGCCAGAAAAAAGAAGAAATGCCTCCATTACTCCAACAGGGGCCCATCAATCGCATTCAACCCTCAAAGTGTTAGGGCATCAGTTGTTCCAGTGAGGGACCATGAGCGATTTGAAGAGTGTCTCTGGTAATTCTATAAGGTGGTACAGTGTCTGGGAATTCTACAAGGTAGTACAGTGTCTCTGGTACTTCTACAAGGTGGTACAGTGTCTCTGGTACTTCTACAAGGTGGTACAGTGTCTCTGGTACTTCTACAAGGTGGTACAGTGTCTCTGGTACTTCTACAAGGTACTACAGTGTCTCTGGTACTTCTACAAGGTAGTACAGTGTCTCTGGTACTTCTACAAAGTGGTACAGTGTCTCTGGTACTTCTACAAGGTGGTACAGTGTCTCTGTTACTTCTACAAGGTGGTACAGTGTCTCTGGTACTTCTACAAAGTGGTACAGTGTCTCTGGTACTTCTACAAGGTGGTACAGTGTCTCTGGTACTTCTACAAGGTGGTACAGTGTCTCTGGTACTTCTACAAAGTGGTACAGTGTCTCTGGTACTTCTACAAAGTGGTACAGTGTCTCTGGTACTTCTACAAGATGGTACAGTGTCTCTGGTACTTCTAAAAGGTACTACAGTGTCTCTGGTACTTCTACATAAAGTGTCCCTGGTACTTCTACAAGGTGCTACAGGGTTCCAGGTTGTTTACAACAGGCCTGTACTCTATTGCCTAGGCCTATCAGGCCTCTGACACCAAATCTGAACACAGGGGAAAGTAGTGTGACAAGTAACATGAGGAGCACTAGCAATAATGCATCAGCTGACACGCGGAGCGCTGGTGGAAACGCCTCAACCCATGGCCCAACGGAAAGCCACAAATAAAAAAATCCATTTCCCCAAACTGGGAAATGCAACCGTACCTCTTCACTTTAACTTCCTCATCTTCCTTGTCCTCCTCCACCTCCTCTTCCTCCTCTTCTTCCTCATCCTCCTCCTCCTCTGTGTCGGAGTCTGGAGGTTTGATGCCCCGGGCCTTCAAGGCTTGTGTGTAGTCATAGCTTTCCACACTCCGTTCCCCCTGGTCCAGCCTCCGCTTGAGTCCAAACCCTCCGATCTCCTGTGAGAGTACCTGTGGGAGAGGGAATTTTGAGTCTAGACCCCCAGATCTCCTGTGGGAGTACCTGTGGGAGAGGGAAGGTTGAGTCCAGACCCACTGATCTCCTGTGAGAGTACCTGTGAGAGAGGGAAGGTTGAGCCCAGACCCACTGATTTCCTGCAAGAGTACCTGTGGGTGAGGGAAGGTTGAGTCTGGACCCACTGATCTGTTGGAGTACCATAATAGAGAGAGAGTAGACATTGCTGGTACTGAAACATTTCCTCTGTTCATTAGTCACAGCCTCAGGCCTCCCTAGGCCTCCTCAGGCTTCCCCAGGCCTCCCTAGGCCTCTCCAAGCTTCCCCAGACTTCCCTAGTCCTCCCTAGGGCTCTCCAAGCTTCCCCAGACTTCCGTAGACCTCCCTAGGGCTCTCCAAGCTTCCCCAGACTTCCCTAGACCTCCCTAGGGCTCTCCAAGCTTCCCCAGACTTCCCTAGACCTCCCTAGGGCTCTCCAAGCTTCCCCAGACTTCCCTAGACCTCCCTAGGGTTCTCCAAGCTTCCCCAGACTTCCCTAGACCTCCCTAGGGCTCTCCAAGCTTCCCCAGACTTCCCTAGACCTCTCTAGGGCTCTCCAAGCTTCCCCAGACTTCCCTAGACCTCCCTAGGGCTCTCCAATCTTCCCCAGACTTCCCTAGGCCTCTCCAAGCTTCCCCAGACTTCCCTAGACCTCCCTAGGGCTCTCCAAGCTTCCCCAGACTTCCCTAGATCTCCCTAGGGCTCTCCAAGCTTTCCCAGACTTCCCTAGACCTCCCTAGGGCTCTCCAAGCTTCCCCAGACTTCCCTAGACCTCCCTAGGCCTCTCCAAGCTTCCCCAGACTTCCCTAGACCTCCCTAGGGCTCTCCAAGTTTCCCCAGACTTCCCTAGACCTCCTTAGGCCTCTCCTGTATCACACTTGACTTCCATTTTTAATTCTTATTCACACAAAAATTGAAGATTTATTCTATTTCTTGCAAAATATACCCACGAATGGTTGTTCATTGTTTACATCCTCCCAATAATTGAATAAGGCCTATTAAAAATCCATAAAACATGCTGGGGGGAGGGGTTGTAGTGAGGCCTTACCTGTCCTCTGGAATATCAGCCAAACTTGAATATTTCCGCTACTTTGAGGTCAATTTCAAGGTACTTCCGGTCCAGAAATTACCCAAAATAATCTCTATTTCAATATGTTTTCCATTCTATCAAATGATGCCAGAAAAACACTAAGAAACCATAAAAAGCATCAAAAAAAACTTGATTTGCTGTTTTACACCAATCATGCGGTCATGGCTCGGCGTCTCTCATGCACTTAATTAATGAGGCAGGATCTTTTTACACAGTGCAAACTGATCACACAGACCCATTACCTCATATCTAGGCCTAAATTCACCACTTAGAGCCTATCTGAGTCACCGAGATCAGGAATTACAACCTAGATCAGGGTCCCTCAATGAATTACATCTATGTCAATGTTTCATTGCCACAATAAAATTGCATTTGTGTCCTTTTACTTAACATATTGTCGGTAATTCTACCAATATTAATAATAATAATAATAATAATAATAATAATACAGGTCCGCCATCACAAATCCGGCAATCAGTTATTCGGTTCCTTCAGTTATTCGGCACTAATTTCGGCTAGTATAATTTCAAATTTCCAGGGTCGCCACAGCAACCTGCTGGTACTGTTTGGTGGTGCTACTTGCTGCATAAGTCATTCCAATCTCTTTTCTCCATTTATTGTTTTAACCTGCTTACTTTTAGCCCTAGTCATGGTTCCAATGAATAAAAGAAATGCTTCTCATTATGTAAAGCACCGACACAGTACATTATCCATTAAAGATAAGGTGACTTTGAAGCCACTGTTGGTTGTCATGAACTCAGTCTCATGAAGCAGGAGAATATGCTTTATTATTATGCTAATATCAACACTACAGCTTATTTGTCTATCACAATTGATCTAATATGACATAATAAACAATATAAATAACATAAAACATGTTAAATACTCCAGAATAAATAATATTTGGAATAATACTGAGCAGTTCGACGGAGGTATGAAGAGGACACAGGATACGAGGATGATTCTCCTATCCCTGTCTTGGTGGCTTATATTAGAGAAAACAAAGTATAGCAGAGGGGTAACTGTGATATACACTTGTAATGCACCATAAAACTGAAACAAAACAGCTATTCTCTCTACATAGTTTGTCACACATAGCAGCATATGTGTAGAGAACCTAGGATAACCTGACAAAATGGCTTATATCTAGTACCTGGCTTGGGCTAGCCATATATGGTTTTGGTAAATATTCGATTCCCAGCCAGGGTAGAAACATTGGGTATGTTCACCCATCAGTAAATGGGCACCCAGGTGTTAGTGGACTGGTGTAGGTGTTATCCTGGATCATTGACCTTATTTGCCTGAAATGCTTACCATAACAAGGGACTTTCTATATAGTAGTATGTCACTGATGTCAGCTAGGCCTGTATACCATGTACATATACAGTAGGGCCCCGCTTTACGGTGTTTCGCCTTACGGCATTCCGCTAATACGGCGATGTCAAATTATGACCAAAATTTGCTATACGGCAAGCGGTCTTTTAAATACGGCGCCCCCCACCCGGTTTGTTTACATTCTCCGTGACCACATCTATTATGTCAGGAAACTTTCCAAAATTCCAAGTGTTTTAAAGTTACTGCATATTTTATATGTACTCAGATATTATACTTAAGTGTACCTGTACCTAAATATACTTACACACTGTGCTGGTGTGCAGGTACACACTAAAATCTCTAAGTCTCTCTCTACTCATGACGCCAATACTACGTAATAATAATCTACTCATGACGCCAATACTACGTAATAATAATCTACTCATGACGCCAATACTACGTAATAATAATCACTCTTGGGCACACTAAATGTCTTATTTTACATCAATGAAACTTTGTGAAGTCAAGTTGGTTAATTTTATTAAGTGTATTCTAAGCAAATCACTCTGTAATCCGGCAAACTCAGTAATCTGGCACACTACAGGTCCCAGTGATGCCAGATTTGTGATGGGGACCTGTAATAATACAGTGGACCCCCGGTTAACGATATTTTTTCACTCCAGAAGTATGTTCAGGTGCCAGTACTGACCGAATTTGTTCCCATAAGAAATATTGTGAAGTAGATTAGTCCATTTCAGACCCCCAAACATACACGTACAAACGCACTTACATAAATACACTTACATAATTGGTCGCATTCGGAGGTAATCGTTATGCGGGGGTCCACTGTAATAATATTTACTACCAGTACATGTACAAGGTATACAGACCATAGCTGACATCAATGACATACTACTATATAGAAAGGCGCTTGTTATGCTGAGCATTTCGGGCAAATTAGGTCAGTTTTGTCCCAGGATGCGACCCACACCAGTTGACTAACACCCAGGTACCCATTTTAAACTAATGGGTGAACAGGGACAGGGACAGCAGGCGTCTTATGGAAATACGTTCCTAATGTTTTCCAGCCGTACCGGAGGAGAATTGAACCCTGGACCTCAGTGAGAGAGATGAGTGCGCTAGTGATCGAGAGTGATATAAGCTGAGAATATCATTAACCCTTCCAGGACCTGTGCCGTTGCTGTACGTGATGAGCTCAGCGCACTCAGATCAGCTGTGAGCGGTGAATTTGGGCCTAAGAATGACAGAATGGGTCAATGTAGTAAGTGTGCACCATATAAATAAATCTTGCAGCGCACAATGCACTAGAAAAAAGCTGCTTCCGTGGTTTTCTTGTAAAACAGCGACTTTGCGGTGTACAGCGGAGCTTCAGTTTTCGTATGGCCCAGGTTGTACGTAAAACTATAGTTATTCTTTAAAAAATCTATTTTTTGGTTAATATTTTCGGGTGTCTGGAATGGAATAATTGGATTTACATTATTTCTTATGGGAAATGTTAACAAAAACTACGTTTTATAGAGAATAACTACAGTTTTATATACAACCTGCGGCACACAAAAATAACTACAGTTTTATATACAACCTGCGGCACACAAAAATCCAGTTTCCACTGTATATTCGTGCGGTTTTTATGGTTATCATCTTGATTTCTTGGTCTCATTTGACAGAATGGAAGATAAATTACAGAAATAAACATGATTTTGATGGTTTTGAGGATTCAAAAATAGCTTGAAATTGAGCTCAAAGTACAGTGTGTTATATCTTGGAAATTGGTCATCCTGTGTTATTTAACTATTGTAAGAGAATATGTTCATCACTTAATATTATAGCGCGAAAGTCCCCGTTTATAGCTAGAATAGAGACTTTCAGTGTTATATTATTATCTGTTAAAATATATAAAAAATACCATGGTATTGTCCCTATTTTATTATTATTATTGTTAGGTAGGATTTCTTATGTATATAGAGCATAAGTCTCAGAACCATCCGGTGAATTGTTCAATTGTTTATGTCCGGCTGACTGACGTTTGGGTCAGGTGATCCAACCTGACGACGGGTCAACAGACTGGTAGGTAGTCAGTCCGTTCCCTGCTCTAGCCTTGACAACTAATCGTATATTGGCTCTCTTACGGTGTACAGTTTGAATGGGTTTGAGAATTAGTCTCTAGAGCTGACTCAGTTTGTTCCTCATTACTCTGAAAGATTCTTTTGATATTTATATTCTTGGTCAGTTCAGTAATCCACAGAGATACGTCTTCTCAGACAAACTCTTGCTTTCTACTTACTTTACGGCCGGATTCAAAGGTCTTGTTGAATCTTGTACATTTTGTAGTTTGAGGTTACACAGTCTTGTTAAGACAAAGACGTAAATGTTAGTGAAGACTTAATTACAGGAAGAATAATTAATCTTCCTTATTAATGTGATATTTCCATGATTTTGAACTAAATGTATATTGTGAATTTATTGTACAAAGTATTAAGTTACATTAACTACAGAGAGAAGATAAAGTATTGTATTTAAATACTTTAATAA